ATAAACGGCCGTTTTCCGGCCGGACCGGACCGGTTGAAAAATTCAACCGGCCGGACCGGACCGTTTTCAAAATTTCTTACCGGTTCCAGCTCTGTTTCGAACTAAAGCCAATAAAAATACAATGAACTCGAAAATCCTGATCGTGTAGACTCGGATTCCCCTTATCTACAAGATCATTCAGCCTTTTCTCACTTTATAGAGAAGGTGATTATAGATATTTTTGTTTCATCTTATAGTTATTGACGGTTCATAAACGACAACAAGAATGTCAACAACAACTTGATACTGATCGTGAGAATTTGTTCAAATGTTCTCAAATAGAAAATCCTAACGAATGGCAAACATTATTCACAATTGTCACGACAACGGCTATGACTTTGGGTGAAATTTCAAGCGAATTGAGAAGACTTGAACGTAATTTTTTCTTGTGCTTGAATAACTTTTATTTCTTTCTCTTTGTAGATATTCATGTCAATACGCTTGGTGGTCATCTACCTTATTGAATACTATATTCAATGAAGAAAAAAAAAACATTTTTCACATTCTATTTCACTATTGTCATTGTTAAAAGATTTTTTGTTGAATAAAACTTCATTTATTATTCATTCTTTTAAATAATTGAATAAAATATTCTGTATTAGAATAATTGAAGAGAAAAAAAAAATAGTTAATAGAATATTGATCTAGTAAGATGAAATGATGTTTGTTCGTATAAATGAGCTTGTTTTCGTCTTTTTTCCATAAATAAGCATCAACAAATGGTGCATTTAGTCTTTGTTCAACATCTGTATCTTTTTCTAAAAGAATTTTTTCATTAGCATGATTAACAATAAGATGAACAGTTAAGATTGATTCAGCACGAATTTTATATTCATCTGGATCTCCATATGGAATCAATTTCTTTCGTCGAAGCTGACCTTTTAATGCAGATGAATAAACCAGAACACCTTTATGTGATAACATTTGAGGAACACGATAATCAACAAACATTGTTAAACCATTCTATTTGAATAGAATTTCACAATTTCTTTATTTTTATTAAAAAGAAAATAAACCATATCAATAAAATGTCCTAAACCGTGACTATTAAAACATCCTCACATATCACTTACTAAAATTTGAGCTCGTTTACAAAAACTCACTAGAAAGAATATTTTTTAAATAGAATACTTAAGTGAAAAAAAACAAACCTCGTTGTCCATCATAAACAGCTTCATCTCTATAAGATGGGAAACTTTTAAGAACTAATTCAACAAAATCGACAGCACTTCCACCACTTTGTTCAATACATCGAGCAAAATGTCCACCATATTCTATTTAATTAAAAACTTTTTAAAAACAAATAAATAAAATAAATAACTTTAAGAAGTATTGATCGAGTTTCATGTAAAACGTTTAATCTTTCAATCAATATTGGCAATCGAGATGAGTTTTCTCATTGTCGAAAAATATTTTCCAGTTCATTGGTTGTTATACGAGAATAATATTTTCCATTGAACTTCATCCTTTTAATTATCAATATATTACAAATTCAAAGATCAGATCTAATCCTTACATCTATTGCTTGATTTATTGCAACACATAATACTTCATAACCACAATAAGTTTCATTTTTGTATTTCCGACAATAAGATTCCTTTTTATCATCATCAATCCAAAATGAAAAATTTCATGCACTTATCAAAACTATCCTTTGAAATCAAACTTTAAAAAAAAACAAACAATTTGTGATTCTTATTCAAACCAATCGATTGTTATTTGATCATTAATTTTTGGTGGACCTACGTTTGAGCCGATTCAATCATCCGGTGTGCATTCTCCATCCATCATCGCACAAGAAATCTTAAGAAAAATGTTTTTTGTTGAAAATAAAAATTGAAATAATAAATTCAAGAAACAGTATTAGCCAATTTTTGAAGAGATGAAGGACTTATTGAAACATGTCGAGCTCGTTCCATTATAAAACGAGCAGAATCCAGAGGACATAAACAACATTCTTCGTTTGTTTCACCCAAATAACTCATTGATTAAATCTTTAATAAACAAATTTTTTCATTTTTATTTTAAAATTTCTCTTTTAGAAAATGTTTTTCTCAAATATATTTGAGAGATTTTGTTTTTAAGGCCGCCCCCCCCCCCCTCTCCAAAAAATCGTTTTTCGTCAAAAAAAATTATTGTTGAGAAAACTATACAGATATGTCGCCTAAGGTCCTTACTTTAAAGATTCGCTAAGAAAAATTTCAGTTTCGAAAGGTTTCAAAGAGAACTACTAAAAGTTTCTCAAATTCTCTATAGTAACATTCATAGGCGACATTAGATAAAAACCGAAAGAAATCATAGATGTTGCCGTCATCTGTTAGCTGCATGTGGCGCTAGATGTATAGGCCTATGTATCTTGATTAGTTCTAGTGACTGATAAACGATATCGCCATATTCGTTGCTAATGTCCAACGATAGGTCGATAATATGTAAAAAAAAAGTTTTTGCGTTTTTCTCGAAACTGGTTTTTGGCAAAATTGAGAAACTCCGAACAAATTTTTTTTCATTATAGTTCGTCCTATCGAACTGCGTTTTTTTTATTCGATAGATTGATGAATCCTCTTTCGGATGAGGGAAATGGAATTTGCATTTGACCCTTAATATTGTATAAACCAACGGTCTTCCAGAAAACCATGACTAGGATTTTCAGAACTTTAAGATTTTGAGAGCCGCAAAAATGGAACAAAATAAAAATATTAAAAAACCATTTCCCTCATCCGAAGCAGCAAGAAGTTCTCTTTCAAATGAGATCAAGCCGAACGCTGTAGCTTGAAGTGTATTGAAAAATTTCTTGTTCCCGTGGAAGCCCTAATTTGCCCCTGGGTTCCTCGAAATCTCCCGAAAAGTAAGGACTATAGTCTTGAAAATTTTTTTATAAATGTATAATCATGGGCCAAACATTCCTACGAAGTTTTGTGAAAATCCCATGCACTATAACGAAAATCGGTTTTGGAGGGGGGGAGAGGCCTTAAGTGAAACTCTTCAAACCCACATTTTACTCATCTACTGCAAAAAGTATTTAATTTAATATGATCAAAAATATTGTGACAAAGAAAGAATGATTTCTCAAATAACCTGAAAAACGACTTCGTGATGAATAATAGAGAATGTTCGATAGAAAGAAAAAGATATTGTCATAAGATGAATATTTATTCTTCTCCAACGTTAATAAGAAAATATCTGCTCGATTTTCCCAACGATATTTTATTAATTATTTTTAGTAAACTGAACAAAGTTGCTTTCATTTGTATTCACTTGTCAATATTATATAACGGTTTAATCGACAATCAAGTTCTTAAGAAAATTTGTAAAAATATTTTATTTCGAATTTATCACCAAATAAATAAACTCATTGTTGAACAATTTTGAATGGATTGTGTTCTTCGTAATATAAACTATCTTCAGCTTTATTCATTAATATTGATCAATTTTTTAGAAGAAGTATTTTTTTAATCATTTAACAAGTAAACTAGTTTAGCTTTTAATGCGATAGTAAAATCATTAGAGATAAGTTGAGATTTATTTTTCATTTTTTGTGAATTGAAGATAATATAATTCTTCGTCAACTTCTCATTGAAGAAATTATATTCCTTAAAACTTATGTCAAAGATGAGTCAATAAAATCATCTCCTGAAATTCTTTGCATTATTTATCTATTACATGAACGTAGTAGTTGTTAATCAACATTGATTATACATGTAAAAATACTTTCATGTGATATTAAGCACTGCGTTAATCAATTTAAATCCACAAAAAGGACTCAATCCGTAAGTTTAAAAAAAAAATTAAATCTATCATAAATTCAACATAAAAATGGAAATTAATTGTAAATTAAAACTTTAGCTGCTTATCTGGCATCGAAAATCAGTCAAACTCGAACTCAATCTTGTAAAATTTGTTTCGATTTAGTTTCAGATGAAAATTTAGTCATACTAGATCAAAAAGAAATCTACTTATCCAGTTTCAATTTCAACAAAATGTAAGTATTAACTTGATCAAATCATGAACGTGCTTCTTCTCTCATATGTTCATAAAACATTCAGTAAGAAATTGAAACAGCTGAATCCGACATATAGATCAGTTTCATACATATGTAAATGAATGAAATATTTTTCATAAAAACTTTTTAACCTTTTGTTTTTATGGACATAAAACATAAGTGAATCTTGGTTTGTGCAGTCACATAAAATAAAGTACAAAATGCATCAAAAGGTTTTATTTCATTTCTTCAAAGGTTCTTAACAGACAAGATAATATAAAATTTTATGAGTGTAGACGATATAAAATGTTAGCTACTAGTCTATTCAATAGATAATTATGTTCATTACAGCTATAAGAATAGCTGACTATAAGAAATAAATCATATAAATAATAAGCCGATCGATCAAACATGTTCTTTAAATCGCGTGACAAAAAGTGGTGTGTAAATAATAGTGGAAATGATTATTCGTCGCTTCATGCCGCAGTTTCAATCGGATGATACCTAGCATTGAAAAATCAAGTTCTAATTTTTGTTTTTGTTAAAAATTGATGGATATTGGACATTTTTCATTTAACACAGATAAAAGCTTTGAGATAATTAGCTATGAATTTATGTGAACAGTGTCTTCAAAAAGATAAAAATATCGTTCAACTGTAGACTTTATTTTTTTTTTTAATTTAATTATGTTCAATAAAAGAAATCAACCAGTAAAAAATCTTTGAATCATCAAAACCGAGGAAAAAATAATCATTTCTGTTTATTCTTCTAAACACATATATTGTTTTATTTGATAGATAAAACGTAAAATAGATATTATAGCTCTAATAAATTCATGACTTTGAATATAACACTGTAAGTAAAGCGGTAAGTGTTTAAAGTATTAAAATCAGTAATTTGTATTTAAACTATTTAAAAATTTGATGTAGCTAATAAATATAATCAACATGAACATCAATGTTTATTTTTTTCGTTTTTATGAGTAGGATATTATGATGTTATTATAGCTGAATGTTTGTTTTTCTTCATGTTATTTTATATGTTTGTTATAAAAAAGTTTACGTTTGGCGTTTATAGTCAGTTGTTAGTCTTATTGTTTTAGTTGGAGATGACCAGTTATGATGGGAAAATTCTCTCAATTGTTCTTTTTTATGATATATATATATAAATATAAGATGAAATAAATATTTAGAAAAATGCAAATTGTCGTATGTTAACTAATATTTGATTTTATCTTGAGATACAAAAATTTATTTTCATATTTAACATCTAGTTTGTTCTATTCACCGAATTAGAAAAATATTGTTTACCTATTAATGAAACTACTTTGCAAAATTCTTAGAGAACGAAAGTCATCTATACAACAACAAAGACATGTAATCATATGATGTATAAACAAATCTAAAAGAGTCCTGATAAAAGGAGGATGGAATCCATTAGAATTGCTCAAAGAGGAGAGGGTAAAACATTGCTGGATATTCAGACATTTACTAGGACTATTTTCTTTATTCATACACGACTTTCGATAAAACTTTGAAGGTTGGTTTGTCATAAAGGATGTTTTTATATAGAAAATGACTTAAATATAGATATGGAGTTGAAATAATTTAACACAAATCCATACGAGAATATCAAGGCTTTGTTTGATATTAATGAAATGCGTATGTTTATTTTAATTAAAAAGAAAAATTGTTTAATAAATCTGATTAGAAAATTCTACTATAATATTCAATTATAATTGAACTAGATCAATGAGTCCTGCATCAAATTGATCTTTTATAATGCTATATAAATCAATAAATAAATAAAATAAACTTAAGCTGCTATTAAATTAGTCTTTCAGTTACAAATTATCTCTAAAACACATTAAATGATTGCTTATGAAAATAACCAATGAAGTAAACTTGTTTTTTTTCCTTGAAATCCACCTATAGCACGTGATCTGGTAATAGAAACCATAGCGAAAAAAACAAATCAAAGACAAACCCAATATCTATTAATGCACTTTGGTGAAATTTACTTTTAAGAGTCAATTTTTATAATAAATAAAGAAAAATATTAATATCGACTATTTATGCTATTAATTTCTTCTAATGAACTAAAACTTCAGACTTATAGATGAAAACCATGAATTTCATTTTTGCGACATCTAACATTGCATAATTATTTTGTGTTTTATGCTGAGCCAACACTGCAATGTAGGCTTAGTTTTTCATTTTTCATAAATCACATCTTAAAATCAGGTTCTGATTGAGAACAACTTTTTATTTTTTTTATTATGTAAATCTGTAATCGTATTAAATGACAAATCCCTTTAGTGATGATAAGCTTGTTCAGATGTATTATATTGAATAATTGACTGACTATTTTTTCCGAATTTAAACTACAACCTATTTAAGATTCTTTATCTATTAAGTAAGTCAATTCAAACACATTTCTGTTGTTGTTGTTGTTGTTGTTGAGACCTTGGAGAAAGATTTCAAAAAAATTTTCTTTTTGAACTTGTGATTACAAATTTTTTGAATAGATCTTATCAAGATATTGGATCCAGATCAATTTGATATGACTAAGAAATACAAAAATAAATTATCTTTAAAAATTTTGACAAAATCTTCCTTATGAAATATGTTATTATTGTGAGCGTTATATTATTGACTATAAACAAACGAGGTTGCCAATCATCATATGACTGGTTGTATAAACTACCAATTATATTAGAAGCGATTCATAGAGTACATCCAGGCAAAACCCGTATCTTTGTAACCTTCCTTCTCCTTCTTTCCTGTCTTTGACTAGAGTTGCCCAGTTGCATCAACTCGCTCTCATTCTCCTAAGCGTTCAATATAAAAAGAGTGTTGTGACACTCATATAAGACGTGCCATGAGACAAATTTTCTATAGATTTAGTTCATATAGGTTCGTTCTCTTTCGATTTCTCATAGTATCTTCCCTACCTGGATTCTCTTCTTTTGATATAATAATTCATGCATGCTTTCAACTGTACCATTATCGCTATTGGTATATACTCGGTTTTTTCTAACATCTGATACGTATGCACATCTTTTGTTCTATGTGAGAGAGAGCAAGTCCTTTGACTTAGTTAATCGAGTTGATATCTGGTCTTTTGAACCGTCACAAATAAACTTTATAGGGAACAAAAAATATCGAGAGAAAAACAAACAAAATCTTTAGAAAAAGGGTACGTGTTTCAATATACCGCTTCTTTTTTATTGAACAACAAGAGTTGATTAAATAAGTGTATCTAACCTAGAAATAAACATTTTTAAAACAGATTACACTTAAACTATATAACCAACAAACGAAAGTAGATCCTATTGCAAAGTTTTATTTTTCATAATATGACAGATTTTAATGAGATAAATTTAAAAACCATAGATAAAAAATTAAATTTCATATTCATACCATTCAAAACTCTAACAACACTTGTATTACTACTCGAACAAATATCTATGTGTTTACATAATATAACTTCCAAAAAGAAAAAAGAGCAACGTCTGTACCACACAGTTTATGTCAACTACATGTTTTCCAAAAAAATTTAAAAAGAAAGAAAAATCAAATATCTCTAAAATAGTTAGCACAATATGATATATTTATTTTTGCCATTTTTTAATCTTAGAAAAAAATGAAATAATACTTTCATTAATGATTTTCTAACCCCAAAGAACACTTTTTCTAATCATGTCTTGAACTTTGAATTCAGTTCTAATTTAAATACGAATATATTTGTTCTTTTGAAAAAGATTAATTAATTTAGATTTCATTTTTCAAATATTTTTGACTAAATAGTCAAAAATATGAATCTGAACATTTTTAATAATCTTAATATAGGAAGAGCTTTCGATACACTATATTATGTGATTTTGTTTTTGTAAAGATTTAGATCATGTTGTCTAAAATAATTGAGAAACATATTTTCAAATTACAAAAATATTGCTAGAACTTTGTTAGAGTTATTCAGTTTTTGCTTTTTCCTCCTTCTTAGATTCGTAATGAAAGAATATGATTGATACAAAATTTGTCTTTGAGATATTGCTCGTTTTTATAAGAAGACTATTTACATTGCAAGATGTCTCGAAGCCGAAAAGTATGACTAGAGATTCTGGCAATTTTTACATCGTAGTGTAATACTTGAAGCTTCTTTTCTTTCTTCGCTTTTGACGTTCTTTCTCCTTCTTGCTTTACCTACACATCATTTATGCATGATTCCTCAAAGCAAAGTTGATATTTTTCTCCTTTCAAAATTTCAAGTTCTCTCTCTCTCTTGCTATGTGTATATGTTTGTTTCATTTTCAAAACGTAGCAGTTCTGATAAGTTATGGGCGATATATGGAAAGAAAGCGAGTATTCTCTTGGATATATTCCTGATGAAATTTCAATGTTCGATTTGTCTACACGAGCAGAAGAAAATGAACTTGTTAAAAATAAATCGGATGAATTATTACCTGATGATCAACGTAAAAACATTATTAAACATAATTTTTTTTGTTTCATTTATCTTCCTTTTGCAATTATTTTAGATCCATACGATAAAATATTGAACGAGTTAGTTAAAATAACAGACGACAAATTAGATAAGATAAAAATATAAATTTCATTATTTCAAAGTTAGTTATTCTCATATGACAAAAAGGATGAGAAAAGAAATTGGAATTTTATCAAAGTTAAATATCAGAAGTTTATAAGATTGATTTCAATAGTTGAAATCGATATGAAGCAACATTTACTTCTTCTAAATAAAAAAAAACATACTGCTTAGATTTAATTCTTCTTAGTTAAACTTAACATTAATGTTTTATATGAGTTTATGAATATTCATTTCAGATATTAATTAAGAAAGAAAGTCTTCTATCGGAACGTCATTATCGTCACGAGAACAGTGATGTTATGAATTTTACTGATCTTTATTATAGTTTTTATTTTAATGTTTTCATGATTCGGTTGATTTCTTGAAAAATTTTGTTTTGTTTTTTGAACTTTTCAATCTTTTAATGACAGACATCAAGGAAATATAATTAGAATAGAAAGTTTATATTTTTTTTTATAAAACAAAATATAATTAATATTTCATTTAGCGAATCAAACGATTATAACTCCGAATGACAATAGATTTCTCTCATCATATGAGTTTCGTCTTGCACAAGTTAATCGTAAAGATGAATTAAGTTTATATTCATCTGTCTTCAATGGATCTGATCGTGTAGACTTTATTTCTCCTGGAATTTTACATGAAAATGTGGCTCATCATCTTTTTCAATCAAACTATATCAACACTGACAATTTATTCTCTCAAATACAATGTAAAAATTTTGAAGAATATTCGAATATAATAAAACAAGGTTTTATATTGGATGGCACAACATTACTTAAAGTTTTAGCATCTTTGTATCCAAATTATTTATTTTGTTTTATTTCAAAAATAACAAATGAATATGGAAAAATTGTTATAAAAGTTGTAAAATATGTTGAAAATATTTCATCATACAAGAAATGTATATTTATATATTATGATGGTATAGCTAATCATTATAGTCCTCTGTATTTCTATAATAAAACTAATGAAGAAGAAGAAAAAAGTAATTTTAAATATGATAATCAAATAATGAGAAGTCTTCCTATCAAATTTATTCAACAAAAGCTTGAATGTAAGGAAACCAAGTTAAATTGATAAAAAAAACAGCTACTATTGTTTTTTCTTTATATATAGATAATGACAATATTGATTTCGAAGAGATAAAGACAATTGAACAGCCTGCTCCTCCCTTACCAAATGAAAATAGTATGTAAAAAATTCTTTTCCTGTTGCATATTTTTATTGTTTATGAATTTTTTTCTGAAGGTGGTAATATATCTGATTCGATCATGAACAATAATGCTATGGATGTATCACCCGCATTAGGTAGAGAAAATTCTTTTCAATCGATATCTTTTGTAGCTTTATATCATTAATATATTACATAGAAAATCACGAGAATCCATCTATGAGCAATACGATATCGGTATATGAATCATCAACATCGAATACAAATAAAGGTTTGTTAAATATTTCAAATAAACAATAATTTTGTTTTCCTAACTATATCGATTTCTTCTTACTTTGATTTATAAAACTTCTTGATATTACTTGTAAAAGACGTGAAGATAAAATGTAAAATTTTCATTTTTTATTCAGAAAAATTGTCTTTTGAATATCTGTCTGATATTGAGTCGAAACTCTCGATTCAACAATCGAATTCTCTCAGATACTATAAAGAAACATATTGGATCGGACAGACTTTGAAGTTGTTAATGGTTTCGTTTCTGTCTGAAAGTGTCGACATTGATTCACAAATATTCTGTAGGGTTTCAACAAGATTTATAAACTTTAAACGAAACATTGATCAATATTTAAATAAGTAAAAAGTTCTTCTCAACAAAAAAAAACAAGCTTTTAAACCAAAGTTTCAAGAAAAAGACAAAAGGATTATTAAAAGTCTTGGTTAACAAGACATTCTTATGAAAGATCTCTTCGTGATTTACACTAATTTATGATATGCATGAGAGTAAAAAAAAACATATAATGATTATCCTAAAATAAATGACAAATAATATTCATAGTTCACTTATTTTTCACATGAAATTAAATCAATAGAATAGATGTTCAACAAAAAAAGAATTTTTTTAGAAAGATATATAACAAGTTTTAGCTTATTTTAAATTCTCTTTTTTTAATAATAGACGAATATACTCCAACAGAAACTTCAAGAAGTGCATCAGAAACGACAAATGGTTTTTTTCGACAACCTATTCCTAATGATGGCAACTGTCTTTTTGCAGCTATTTTCAACATATTATGTACATGTGAAAAGATCACCCCCGCGAGCTTACGTAAACAAGCTGCCGACTATAATCGTCAACCAGGCAAAATTGACGAAGACTGTCTATTAAGTGAAACTGGAAACACGGTTGAGCAATACTGTGAAAAGATTGAAAAGACCAATGCATGGAGTGGTGAAGCAGAAATTCGAGCTATAGCTGAATCACATGAGATAATGATTCGTGTTGTAAATGTTAATCCTGAAAGATTATGTGTGTCTATTTCTGAACCATGAGTTGCCTAATTCGAGTTCGAATATAAATGGGGAGCCAAGAGTCTATTATAACTTATAAAATAAATGAAAAAAAAACGAATTCATGTAAAAATAGCAAAAAAGCAAAAGATAAATTTTATATAAATTATAATTTATAAATTATAAATTTGATCACTTTCATGTAAATGTAGCAAAAAAGCAAAAGATAAATTTTATATAAATTATAATTTATAAATTATAAATTGGATCACTTTCATGTAAAAGTAGCAAAAACGCAAAAGATAAATTTTATATAAATTATAATTTATAAATTATAAATTTGATCACTTTCATGTAAATGTAGCAAAAAAGCAAAAGATAAATTTTATATAAATTATAAATTGGATCACTTTCATGTAAAAGTAGCAAAAAAGCAAAAGATAAATTTTTTTTATAAATGATACATACAAGGGGTTATTTGATTTCAATCTGAATTTTAACAAAAAAAAGAGCACTTGATTTCAGATTTAAATAGGGGACTAAGGGGACTAACTGAAAGAAATAAGGGGACTCATGGGACTAACTGAAAGAAATAAGGGGACTCATGGGACTAACTGAAAGAAATAAGGGAACTAAGGGGACTAAGGAATTCTTGAATTCTCGAGTTTTATAATAGGTGTGGGTGTGGGTCATATGATGTGTTTTGGGAGTATCCCCGGAAACTCGATCAAGTCCTAGGGGTTGCAGGTAACTAGATATATAGGTATAGAGGTATGAGAGATATAGGAGGTACACTACTAACAACAATGTGACCACAACTAGTATTTTTTGACGTAACTTTTGAAATGAACAAGCTATAAAGAAGCGGTTTTCATTAGCGGAAAGAGGAAATTCAGACACCTCGAATCAAACGTTATACACTTTTCGAGATGGGATTCTTAAACTATTCAACTCAATTTTTTCTGAAACAACGTTATTGATACTTTACTACAAGAAGCTCTGAACTATATCATATTAATTCAAAGCAACAGTTTCCTATCCATAAGAAACTATGCAACACTGTGATTCTTGGCTTCAACTGTTCAGCAGCAATCAGTATTGTCCGCGAGACAAGGAACAGTTTTTTCTAACAGCTTTCACGTGAAAAAAACTTATTACTAATATTATATATTTATGTCTGAATATTGATACATTATTAACGTTCACATCCAAATACTAAAATTAGAGTTTTCTACTCTCAACATTAAACCCAAATGCTTTAAGGCGGAATCAAAACTGTCTAAACCCCACCCACAAACCATTGCTGCAGTGGAACCCACGAGAACAAGACTCCCACCAATAGCAACTAACACAAAGGTATAGGCACACAGCAATCACCAACGGTGTCGATGCAGCTAAACAAATTTCACTAAAAAGGACTCACGCAAACATCGTAAGTGTGGGTGCCACGAAAGGAGTTTCACCAAAAAAGGACTTACACCAAATAAGACTCACACACAAACATCGCAAGTGTGGGTGACACGAAAGGAGTTTCACGAAACACGACTTACACCAAACAAGACTCACACACAAACATCGCAAGTGTGGGTGCCACGA